AAGCTTCGATCCATCCTCAAATCAGCGATTCACTTCCTCTTGCCCGAAACTGGCTCCTATGCGACTGAGGGTCTTCTTAAATCAGATCCGAATCTTTGAGGATTGCATGTATAGGGCATGATAGAGCAGCAGGTAAGAGGCTTAAGGTAAAAGGGTTTAAGTATTTCTGATGACAACGTGAAAGAAACAAGCTCGCAGAACATAAGTGAATTTGCGCGTAGACCTCCTCCGCAAGGACACTGCAAGGAATGAGTCGAGCCCTATATGAAAACTGATAGCAGTAAGTTCTTTCAGAGTGTAGAAGCCATGCTTTAAACTTCCATAAAAGTCACTTTCTTTGGGGACATGAGTTTTTTACTTTCGGACTTTAAGCTTTGAGTTTTAAAACAGCGGCGTTTTTTATGGCGCACGTAATTATTCGTCTGCCGGTACATTCCTCTGATATGCATGTGCAAGTATCTCAAGCTCGGGTGATGCTTTTTTCAGAAGATGTCTGGTCAATGTTTACCTTGGAAAAGATTGATGGAAGTATGGCGCTTGCAGAAAAGCCGCAGATACCCCTGGAATATGGAATTATTAGAGAGAATATCCGTGAAATCCTGAGCACCGTTGAGGATTGACAACTCTGAATACATACCAAGAGTGTTGGCTTTGAATTTGTACTGAGCGCCAGGGTTCTGCAACATCCGCGAGGAACTCGGCTCGATCGACGGGTTTGGAAAGGCGCTTCAGATCAAATTCTATTTTCCATCGTTTCAGCTTCTCTATCATCTGACTGTACGAATCCGTTTCTTTGACGGAAGAACTGAAAGCAAAATTCTGCAACATTGAAGACCACATACTATTCGTTTTATCCATATATCTTTTAAAGCGTTTTGATATGTAGCCAAAAGGATCTAAAGATTTTCGAGCCAACGCTAGCACTTACGGTGTCGTAGTAATTATCCAATTTCTTGCTGTCGAGGATGAAGTCAGGATAAGCGACGTGAACCAACATCTCTTGTATTTTCTCAAAAGCAGCCTGAAACGAAGTTCTTCTTCTCTTAATTATTATTCAGCTTTTGTTCCACTCTGCGACTGGGTCCGCTCTCCCGATTTAGCTAAGCCATTGCTCGCCATTGAATACTTGATCAGGGTGGGCACCAATTATTCAAGGCCATGTGCAGAGTGTCGAGCTAATCTTGCTTAGGGTGTTCTGTTCTGTGGGTCGTGTTTCGAGCTTCGCAAGCTAGAGACGAGTCTTATAGACAGTGTCCGCCTCTAGAGCACGCAGTACGTGGCCACAAAATCGGCGACAAGATTCTCGCATTTTATCGTCAACGGTAGCTGCGCCGAAGTTCTCCTAAAACTCTCACGCTGAGGCGGGCTGCTTCTTCTTTGGTCGCATTCTACCATCAGCCCCACACACTGGTCTAACCACAGTTCTGCAGACTTTTCATTACAGCTTCTGTAGCATCGTCTTATTTCAGAGAACTAGAGCCCTAGAGTGTCACTTCGCCCATGCCGCACCCACGAGCGAGTAAACCTTTGAAGTTGGGCTGCTATCGAGTAGTGGTTCAAGGTACTCGGAAGTTATTTGGCGTGTGAGCTTGATGCCACTTCGGAACAGGACTCGTTGGAATCGGCGACAAGTCCTCGGTTTTCTTGATGTACAACCTGAGTCCAAACTCTGCGAGGCAGTCAGGTCAAGCTTGCACGTGCTGCTCGAATACGCTTTGATCTCCACCGACGAACACCATATCATACGCGAAGAGAAGCGTCCAGACGCCCATGAAACGAAGAGGGGATAGCGCAGAGCCTCGATGTGCGCGACTCATGACAGACTATTATATAGTAGTGCCGCTAATTTATCCTCCATTTCTCTGAGAATTTTCTGGGACTTCCATGTATCTGAGCTCTGATTCCTCTTGTGATTCCCTAGTTACTAGTCCGATATCGGTCAGACAAGAGCCTCCGTTTATCTTTGGAACTCTCGAGCTGATTCGCCAACGTGGAGCCGCACGAGCCGCAGGCAATTACCAGCTGACGTCTGAGCTTGCGAAGCTATGCAGAGAAGCGATAAAGGAAGACAGTGAAGAGGGAAGAGTAGCCGTAGAAAATTTGAAGAGCATCCACAGCGCTCGCCCCGATTGAGCCAACTTAAGACCTAGATGGGAATCCTGTCGTGGTTCAGAGGCAATCGCCCTGCTGATCCCTCAACACGACGCATCCAGGTGGTTCAGAGTCCCCGTGAGCCCCAGACCTAGGACTCACGTCATCCCAGGGGTCCTCCTCGGGGACCACACTGGTCTCCCCCCAGTGCAGCCTCCGCTCCCCGAGGGTCTACAGGGTTCCTATCCCAGGGGGGTTGTGGGGGGAACTTGCGGTAGCACTGTCCCCACGGCTGGTCTACCCCTGGCCCGGCCACAAGGACCAGACCAGGGATTCCCTGGCCGCCGGACGCACAACCGGTAGGACTAAGCAAAACACACAAGCCTACAAACTGCATGACACAACATCCTACAGCGCCTTAGTCGGGCCCCAGCCCTGGCGCTCCCCTGTGCTTGCCCTGATACATGAGTAAATAACACAAACAACACAAACTATAAACACT